TGGTGATTAAGCTGCTGACCCCCCACCAACTCTCTCTCCCTCCATTCTTCTTCTTCTCATTCCATATTCTTTCCTTTGTTTTTATCTTTTTTTCTTTCTTAGTCCCATCAGTCTCACAGTTTTTGTATGAATAGGTCTCAATCTCTATCTAATCTCATCTTTATCTATTTCCCTATATCTAAAAATAGATGGCATCTGGATAATATCCCCCTTGTGCTCCACCCCATTCACTCGATTTATGCCAGTATCCACACAGGCTTGCCAGCACAGAGGCTCAACAGACCACAGCATCCAACAGTTAGGAACTCGGTAATCCTTTCATACTTGGCCATCTGGTGACTAGAGAATGACACTATCTGAAGGTTACATGGAAGAAAGTCAGTTGAAGTTGATTAGCTGTCAGTGAGAGGTCACCTAAAGGCTGGTGTTGCTAACATTCAGTAGATAAATGTTGGCAGGCCTTTGAAGTGACACCACCAAACACTGGGTCAGCACCAAAATACATTTTTATTAGTGGTGTGTATCTGTCCTCACAAGATTTGATATGTATTTCAATACATGGTCCATGATTAGATACAAAAGTGATATTGTAAAATTTGTGACAATATGACAATTTGTGACAATACAGTATGATTCAGAACAATTTCAATTCAGCAGATATTCGATTTTAATTTTGCTTTTATTTGAAAGATTATACATTAAAGTATCTGTTTAGGGTATAAAATTAAAAAGAGTGTTTCCTCAAAGCAGTTTTGTATTTTCAAGCAGCAAAAGCCAAATAGAGAAATGATGTCTACTCTTGTCAGCAAAGCTGTGAAAATGGGCCCCGGGTGGTAATGAAGGGTCACAGGTCACTGAGACAGCACTTGCTTTTGAAGACTCAGTGGCAGAGTTAACCCTACAGGAAGCAAATAAAAGTCCCACATGACCAAAAAGAGTGCCTGATGGAGATATTGGAATGCTCACTATTTAAGCATACAGAGCTTGAGGAGACAACAAATAGGCCAGAAGAAAATGAAAAAAAATGTCGCTTGATCCAGAGTAAAATGCATTCATGGCAAAAACTGTCCCGGTGTGGGAAGAGGAGTACATGGAGGGTCTGATAGTAAGCCTGTATTCGCCTCCCACACCCGGACTGATGTCAGAGGAACCAGCAGGTGTCTGGATTGGATGAAAGGAAGAAATGGATGAGAATGCAAAATATATGGTAGTGGATGAGTGGGAGGAGGAGTTGGAAACTGGAGAAAAATGAATAAGATATAAAAGCTAGAGGCATAAAGTAAGTAGTTATTATTAAGAATGATTATAAGATGTTCTTTATATACTGGAGTCATTGAAATGTGTAAAGCTAAAAATAAAAGTTATTGTATTGTAACATTAATTTTGATTTGATGATGGAAAAATATATAAAAGTGGCTTTGAAACTGAAATGAAATGTTTTAAGTAAGGAGAGAAATTGAGAAAAAAGAGAAATGGGGAAAAAAGAACACCAAGTCATGGTGACATTTTGTGCTTACAGGCACTGACTGGGTGTGGACCCAAGAGATAACACAATAGCTCCAGCTGACAACTATCCGAAGGCCAGAGATGGTGACAAGTGGTAAAAAGGAGAAGTCTGACTGGAGAAGAGAAGCCAGCCTAATTTTCAGAAATCCTTTAAAAACCACAGCAAAAAGATTAACAGACAGATTTTCAGCAGTTGCTGCTGGAGGCTCTGTTTGGTTTTTTTCTGAATTCCAGAGGACTGAAAAAGCCCAGAGAAGCAACCCGGGAAGACACCTTGACAATGGCTTCTGAAAGGGAACATATAGAGCCGCTACCTAGAGCAGGAAGTCAACAATGGATGTAACTGTTCAATAAGATTCCTCATTTCAGCAAGAAATGCATGTGTTCCTACCTAGAGGAATCGGCACTGGAATTGTGATTGAAAAACCACCAACTTGAACCAACCATCAACTCGTGATTAGTGAGAGATTCTTTGACTTTTATTCAGTAATGTGACAGCTCAATTGTAATAATTTTAATCAAAGTAATAGCCTAAATTAATGATTAAAAATTGCTTTTGTTGATTTATAAAGTTGTAAGCAAATCAAACAATATGTTGATAATTGATATGTTGCATTACTGCTTACTGCCATGCTGTAACTGTCTTTAATCTATATAAAATGTCTAAACATTTAAGCTCTCTTTACTGTATTATCTATATTATTATTTCAGTTATAGTAGAGTAGTAGATATGATGTTTACTACAAAGACTAAAATACAATTACCGGTAGTTAAATGTGGCTAGCCTTTCAAGAGTGAAGTAGTGATGGCTGATTATTAGAATCAGATTGTTGACTTAATTTTCAAACAGAATTTTATCAGAAGATACTTTAGATAATTTAGTCAGCTCTCCACTTATTACAACTTATATATTATGAACTGAGTGTCCATTCCTAACTAATGTTAGCTAAACCCAGTGCACTAAAATCATGTTCATAAGTGGCCAGTGTCACAGATTTTATGGGTTATTCAGATCAAACTTAACACTTTTTCAAAGAAGCCAAAGTATACTGGCTTTTAAAAACCTTCTCAGTAGAGTAACATCTGAAGGTATAAGGAGGTATCTGCCTATAACTGCAGATTGTTATTGTTCAGGAGCATTTGGGGTCTTGTCCTGAATTAATGACATGTAAGAGGAAGGTCTGCAGGGAACTCTGTTCATAGGTTCATGGTAGTCAATTACTGAGAGAATATCTCTGCCTAAAAAACTGAAGTATTGTTTGAAGCTTTGATAGGTTTCAAATATGTCACCTTAGTGTGAGAGGTTAAGCTGTGTTCTTATGTCCCGGGGTTAGCAGATCATGACCTTCAAACACTCATTTTAACAATAGTACAGGTATGTGCCAAAAAATTATAATATCGAGGAAAAGTCCATTTATTTCAATAATTTGTTTCAAAAAGTGAAACTTGTATGTTATATTAGTTCACTACACACAAAGTGAAATATTTCAAGCCTTTATTTGTTTCAATTTTGATGATTATGGATTAAAGACAAAAAAACCCAAATCCAGTATTTCACAAAATTAGAATATTTCATGTGACCAATAAAAAAAGGATCTTAAACACATGTTGGCCTTCTGAAAAGTGTGTTAATGTACTGTATTATGTCCTCAGTACTTTGTTGGGCCTCCTTTTGCATTAATTACTGCATCAAGGCGGCGTGGCATGGAGGCGATCAGCCTTTGACACAGTTGAGGTGTTATGGTAGCCCAAGTTGCTTTGATTGGCCTTCAGCTTGTCTGCATTTTTCGGGGTCTGTGTTCCCTCATCTTCCTCTTGACAATACACCAGAGATTTTCAATGGGGTTTAAGTCAGGCGAGTTTGCCGGCCAATCAAGTACAGTTATTCCATAGCTATTAAACCAGTGTGGATGTCTGATCACACCTCCCTGCTGGAATGTGATCTACACCGGGGGTCTGTGTGTATGTGTGATGTTAATTTGTATGTTAAACTGGCCAAGTGGTCATCTCAGGATGTCGAGCCCTCGGTCTCTGCAGGACATCCCAAGACAAAGCAGAACTTGCAATATGTTAAGTGGGTCTGTGTGTGAATGCAAAACAAGCC